GTGGTTTTTGATTTCCACAAGTCAGTTTGGCTAGTAAACAAACTGAAATTGTTGTAACATGTAAGTTATCACAAGCCACTTGGCTAGTAAGTTAAAAAGTTAGTGTTGAGCCCTAACATATCCTAGCAGCTGACATGTTAAACTTTGGAACAACTGTAATTTCAAATAAGAACTGACAGCTGGTAAACTTTGTTAATTTGGTCATTAAGGCACTTTAAATTTTGCAACTTTGAATATCTAAATAAACCTTGCCAAAATAACATGGTGCAATTAAAGAGTCTTATACTGCTTGTTTATTCTTATCAACACCTTCAAAATTTAGTCACAAGATGTTGGTAATAGTGATGGAGATACAGCTATGCCAGCCGTTTTTAAACTTATCAAGTTTTCTCTTCAACCTTTTGAACCATGATCTGAACCATCTTTCCGAGAAAACCAACAGTAAATGTTGCCTAAGATGGATGTACATGATCATCATACTTACTCTTCTTTTTATTATATTCTTGTTTAGACTTCCACAAGGTTCTAACTCGCTCTAAGAGTTCTTCTTTTTCACAGCAACCCGTGAAGTCCACAAAATTTGCCTTAAGGATACATTTGAGTTCCTTCACTGAAAGCTCCTGCACTTCATCTACATTCTTGATTTCACTCAGACTCTTATTCACAGAAGCAGATGGTGCAGAGGGGGGAACCTTAACAATGAAGAACAGTAAATCAAGGACTCCTCATAACCACCTCTTTTGACAAACACTTAACCTTTTATACTTTAACATCAGCATCTGTATTCTCCACACTCTTCTCTACTCATTTCCTTTAGTGCTGACAAGGAGAATTTGTTTAACAATCAAGAGCTTCTTTAGTTGGCGATCATTTCCTTTATTATCGTCACCTTAATATTTGATTCAGGGGTGATATTGTAAGGAGAAATTAGATTCTAGTCACCCTTATGGGTTTATAGGTTAAGGAAGGCAGTCAATGAAAAAAAAAAATGAGGGCACATTCTCAGTATTCTCCAGCTCCCTCATCTTCACAAGCACTAATGTCCAGCTCTTTTGCTGGCTACTTCTTTCTGCTAAGGTTTTTTTCTTTTTATCAATGGCTGGCTTCTGAAAAAAAATCTCTGAAGAGCACTGCCTAATGCCAGAAAATCACTTTGAATAACCAAAAAAAAAAAAACACTCTATGTAACATGTTACTTTAAATTGTTAGTAACATCCTAGCTATAACTAATGATACAGACCTGAACAGGTTGAGTTCTTGGAGGTGGTTGAGAATGTGAACTCCTTGGCGGACTTGGCTGGGTATAAAAGGCATTAGGTGCGCGAGGATGTGAGGGGTTTGGCTGTGATGGTTGCCTTCCTGGTTGAGGCTGAGTTGCTGTAGATGAGGGAGCTGTGTTTGTTCTTTCTTCTGCATGCCGTAAAATTAACTCTACTAGATCCCGCTTCTCCTTACAATGATTCAAGGAGATCTGCTTGGACCTTAAATATTCTTGGAGGTCCTTCACTTTCAACTTCATCAGGTGATCCTTGTGGGCAATTGGGGACTGGAGAGCCCTACAGGTCAGGCAGTGTCTGCTGTTCTCTCCAGGAATAACTTTAGGGTCTCTCGAAAAACAGTCATTGCAGAAGTGTCTTTTACAATTCCGACAGAGATTCTGAAATTAAATGATGTACAGTACCAAATTAGAGATAAATCAAACATTTCCTTGCTCGTTAAAGCACATATTCCAATTGTGTCAGTCAGAAATAAAATAGGAAACCTAAGATAAATAAAACAACAACAACAACAATGTCAGCTGAGATTAGCAACCACATCAGTGACGCTTTTGTGATATCTTTCTGTTACTCTCTGCAGTCATCAAAGTTAAGGTCCAAAAGACACATTCTGATTTGATTCATTTATCATCTAAGTCCCCCAGTAACAAGTTAGGGACAAAATTCCACTAAAAAGGGTTTGATGAGGAAAATTGTATGAAGAGACAATTTGAGGCATTTTAGGTATCAGCATGGCTTAATCTTTATTACTGTTGAATGCAATTGATGCATTTTTTACCTTCATTTCTCGTCAATTCTATTACTGATCATGAGTGCTTCAAGAAATGTAGGTCAATCAAAGCTAATTTCAGTTTTTTTTGGGACCCCAGTTTTCATTACTGATCCAATACCATGCAAAAAGACTTGAAAGTAAAAAGATTTTGTCCATAAATTTTGCAGTTTATCTTCATCTTTCATGTTAAAAACTTTCAAGGATTCTACCTATGCAAGAATCTAGCAAATGATATTTCCATAACATTTTTTGTATTTTCCCCTCAGCCTTGTCTGAAACCAAAAAGATGTAGTCTGTAGGCAAAAATGTATTTCCACCAAGCAAATTTAATCAACAGAATCGTTTGATAGCTAGACTGAGTTTATTCAATAATTTGCCCCAATTAATTCTTCCAGACATGATTGTCTACTCATTAAGATGGCTTTCAAAACTAAGATAAGGTCCATAGTAGGGAATAGCTTGATTTCTTTATGCATAAAAAAATATAGATTAACCCTAGTAATTTCAGAGTGCAAGAAGATCAAGTCTGAAAATTTTGTTGGGGAGGTTGAGTGCACTTCAAGGAGTTAACCGATGGGTACAATTTTGTTAAAAAATTGCCACAGCCTTTTAATATTTTCTAAATATTTGTGAGAATGTAAATCTTCAACTTACTTCACAATAATTTGCTAGACATGAAACTTTTATGAAAATGTAAAGAAAAGAGCTAATCAGATTAGTTCTTTTTGGAAGACCACAACTTCTTCACATTTGACCTATTCCTATTTTAAAGGTGAAACTGTATTAACAAAAGAGGTTTAAATAATCTCACATTTTAACCTTAGACAAAACAAATACTATTTACAGTAAGTCCATCAGCGGACACAGCTGAAAATCCATGGGAAACATGTAGGGGATCTCACTCGTATTTGGCCCGATCAAAAACAAAATTTGTCCGTACAATCCTTCGCATTTTTAACGAAAAGAACCTTTGTGTTGCTACAACATTGAAAAAAAATGTTGAAATATCAACCTGAAATGGGAATTGATCAATATGTAAAGGGTATTGTAAAATAATGATGACCGGAAAATGGTTGTTTATGGATAAACAAAGCTTTGGCTGTAGGATGTATTCATGTCTGATTTAGACATTCCTTCGAATTCCCGTGGGAATCAAAGCGCTCGCATAATCTGGACCGAAAACGACAAAATAAACAGTCTGAATGATGATTATTACGGGAACTCACACTGAAAATTATCGAAATTGTATGGTACAGTTGATACTAGATTCTGTTTGGACGTTTGTTTCCCTCCGATCAGGAGTTCTCGTGGTAATGAACATATCATGTAAACTATATCATTTAATTGTAAAAATTAGAATTACCACACGAATTTAATAGGGAACAGTCTGGAAACTACCTACATTACCAACGCTTAATGATTTGAAATCCTCAGGGTTTGCGCTAAAACGTAAATTAAAGCATTACCTGAAGGTGAAAGATTCAGATCTTCAGTAAAAGCCAGTACAACTTTGTATTTTTTGACAGTGCATGACCGCACTCTTACCATAAATAAGCAATGCTGAATAAATCCTCAAACAAACTAACAATTCACCTAAACTAGCTAGGCTATTACCTTCCTCTTGAAGAGGGTAAAATTGGAGCTGCAGCTAAAACAGGCCATTTCTGCGAAACCATCCACAGAAATATTCGAACTGCTGCTACCAGAGGATGCAGTTCCTTGGGTCGGACGGGACGAGGAAGACGATGCTAATGTTGATGGTCTACCGTTGATGACATTAAAATGCGAGCGAAATATAGCATCGACGTGTTCTGAGTGATCTCTTAGCTCTCCATTGATACCACCAGCGCCCATAACAGGCGACAAAGTAGACGGAAAGGCAAGTATTTTGGTCCAATAATGAAAGTATAATTTTGTGAATCGAAACTCGACGGCGAACAACTAGGAAACTTGAAACGTGCCGGGGGAACTGAGACGAGAGGAGTGACGTACATGTGTGATTTGAAAACGAGGCAGGATATGACCAAAGCGTGGCGTGTCTTGCTAACTATCGTTTTACACGCTTTCCCTTCTATCCTTGAATCGAAGCATTTTACTTCGCCAGGAACTTACAATGGCGGACCAAGGATGTAAGTAGTTTTTAATGCTTTTTAGAGTACTTGATTGCCAAATCTTCATCAAATATTGGCGAGAGAAGACGTATTTCACAAGCTCGCATGTCGCCCGAAATCACCCAAGCTTTCCATTGTCACGCTTGCGAATTGCTAATACTATGCTTTAAAAATTCCTGTAATTCATGTAAGAGAAACATATAAATTATGGCTAGAGGGAGTTATTTAGTGTGTACTTTTTATGATCGACATCTAAAGCCAGAAGCTCTCACTTCTAATGGCAAGGTGGTCATTCTGTTTAGGGTACTCAACGCAAGATTGTCAAACGTCTGGAAGCATGCTGCTTATATTGTAAAAGTAGTGGCTCTATAGCCATCATTAACATAGGAACAGGTTGCACGAGTATCCCAAAAGAGTGTCTGACCAAAAGCACGATCAGGGTTGCCGAATAAAACCGTCGGCTGGCAAAAATTTCATCCAGTGGTACTCGAAATTTGTTTTTTGCCCAACGATTCCACAATTTGTATGAGATGAAAATGAGTTTCATCTTTTGAATTTGAAGGTGACTCTATCACGTTTGAGGACTTTTTACTTGGCACCAGATCAACAAATCACTAGACTTTTATCTATTATCGTTTACTTGACACTGACTAGTTGGTTACTGTTAGTTTCAATCTCTCTCTCTCTCTCTCTCTCTCTCTCTCTCTCTCTTATTGTTTGCGCTTGCACTCAGTCTATTGTATTAAAATACTGGTTTTTTTTTTTTTTTTGTCAGATGGGGGTGGATATGGTCAGAATAGTGGGGCAGCAATGTATGGCGGAACAGGAGGTTCTAGGTAAGACACGTAACCCTTTCACCCCAGAAAGTGACTAGCATCTAATTGACTGCTACCTAGATTCTCCTCATCAGCTCCTTTGGATTTGTATGGAGAACAGCATGGAGAATATGCTTATTAATATTATGATGTAAAGAGTTGAAATGATGTTGTAATGTTTAAAGAGAAGACCAGTTCATATAAAAATCTAGCTTGCCAGAAGTGATTGCCAACTAAAGACGTTCGGGAGTTTGTATAAATTCCCCTTGTTAATTAATACCATAGGAAATTAGTAAAGAGGAATATGCAGACAGATATTATGAGATGAAATATCAGGTATTTCGTCTTGCTGTAAAATCTTAGGGTCTATGGTCTAAATCTTCACAGTGACTTACACTTTGTTTTTGTCGTGAACGATCTCACAATAAATAATGATGCTCCAATAGTCGATAATAAACTTTAGTTTTTCTTTTTTCTTCTCGTTCTCAATAGATATCTCCCAGTAAAACTACAAGATTGATTGTGTAATTCTATACGAAAGGGTTCAAGGTTTAATAACTTCTGATCACATTTCTATTTCCCGCAATGTAATGCTGTTGTCGGTGACGTGTTTATTCCATGTTTATGTAGCATCTCTCTACAATTGAGACCCTTGATTAAGAGAAACTTTGATAGCCAGACATATCATGTGAGAAATAGATGTCAATTCTTTGAAGTCCTACCCCCTCATTTAATGCCATGATAACTACAGTAGTGCATGTTGCAATCTGTTTTTAACACTTCTGTTTCAGTTATGGTGGAGCTCAAGGTTACCAATCTGGTGGCTACCAAGCTCCTACCAGCTCTTATCAGTCAACTGGTTACCAGGCCTCAGCTCAAGGAGGAACTCCAGCATATAGTGCAGCAACTGGGTACCAGACTTCCACAACAGGCTATGCAGGCTATCAAACAGACAGCAGCTCAGGTGGTTACCAGCAGGCATCTTCAACACAGTACCAGGGGTATGGACAGCAACCTCAGAGTGGTAGCTATTCACAGGCCAGCGGAGGATCTAGCTACCAACAACCACAAGGATACCAGCAGAGTGGAGGCTATCAATCTGGTGGTCAAGGTGGTTATAGCAGCAACCAGAGCAGCGGAGGTGGTTACCAAGGTGGTGGGTATCAAGGTGATAGTGGGCGCAGTGGTGGTGGATATGGACAACAGGGCTCTTCCTATGGACAAGGAGGAGGCGGCGGCTACGGAGGAGGAAGAGGGTAGGTTCTTATTTTCATTCTATCACCTAAGCTTTTACCAATTACTATACAGATGTCTCAATGAGGTCCTCTCATTCTTTGGGTCAGATTAAAAAAGTCCATACCTTTTTGTCAGAACTTTGCATGTTGGAGGCTGGGGCTGGTGTGCATTCTTTTAATTGTTGTTCTAGCTCAACACTTCCTCAGAAATTTGTCACAGCAGTTTAAATTAATCATAGCATTTCTTAATGATACTGGCTATGGAAAAATGTAAAACTTCAAGTTGTTATGGAACTTCTGTTGCTTTAAATTTATTGGTGAATTTGGTCCCTGGTTTAGTAGTACCAATAATTCAGTTGGTTAAGATTTTTGAACAAGAATAACCCCCTCCATGTGTTATTGAATAATTAGGGGAAAGCAAAGAGTTGGATTTGGGTATTAAAATATTTGCATCATGTAACTGGTTACTGACCATCAATTGTGATGATTACAATCACAGGTACCTGTGCTCTTTGGAGCAAAATGTTTTGTAGCAAACTGTAACATTTCACTCTTACACATAGTCACATAGTTGTTGCTAATGATAGGAATATCTTTGTCATAGTTAACTGTCTTTATATGGTGTACTTAAGAAACTTTGTGTGGGTATCAATAAGGGAGGGGGGGGGAGAGAGAAGTTTCAGGAGAAACTGTGATGTTGCATTGGTGGGGGGCATTGCAAGATAATTTTATTTTATCTATTGAGTTAATAATGAAAATTTGCCTCCATAAAGGGTTGCTTAAGCTGACGTTTTGCGCAGGTGCCCAAAAATGTCAAATTGAAAAGATTTACTGTAAGGATTTGTGTTCAGGGAAAGAATTCGTAAATACTGCAGGGTTCTACTTTGTCTCTATTGTTCTGGGAGAGATAGGCCTTGAAGAAATAAAAAAAGTAATAAGGAGGGTTGTATGTTATAAAAATGGTACACAAGATATTTCCATGGTCTTGGGCCCCGTCCACACAAAGACGATTGTAAACACAAACACTAGTAAATGCAAACTTTTTTATGCGTTTAGGCCTTCCGTCCACACAAAGACGATGAAAATGCTCACCGTAAACGCATAAATTCGAAAACGCTCTCCATAGTGGATAAATTTGAAAACGCCGTTTATGCGTCTTCGTGTGGACGGTCGTAAACGTATATTTTCGTAAAGGCTGTGAAAACGCTGACGTCAGATGTCAGCGCCAGTCTCTTTTATCGAGTGCGTTTCCAACATGGTGTACACACGAGTGTTGAGCTGTGTCGTGCTTGCGCTTATTTCAAGCATAAATGTGAGCATTCAATTGAATCATGCAATAATCGATATACAGGAAAACTACAAAAGAAGAAGACTAAACCTCTCAAGATTGTTATCCACTACTACAAGCACTTTCACTCGAGTAAAACGACTTAGATGCAGACGTGAGAGCAAAGAGAGAAGATTCTGGACCAGACCAGGTCGACATTTTTCTTCTCTCTCGATCACAACAAACGCACGTGGTGACTTTACAACATGGGCGCTAACAGTTGATAACAAGGCGCTGAAGCAAAGATACACATTAATGCGTTTACGAACGTTTTCGTGTGGACGGGTGAAAACGCTACGTAGACGATGATCGTTTTCGTGTGGACGGAGATAAAAATATGCGTTTACTAGCGTTTCCGTTTACAATCGTCTTCGTGTGGACGGGGCCTTGGTCAGTTATAGCAGGGAGGGCTATTTCCAAATTGGCTAGGGCTTCCAAAACATTTCAAGTACATGAACACTCGTCTTCAGGGTTACATGTACATCACCAGTTCCCTTTTTGGTTAGTTAAGGTCCTATGTTAGACAGTGGTGTCCTTGATGAATCTTGAAGTAAAAGTTACATATGAATTTTGAATACAGGATCTTGGGAAAAGACTGGGCCTAATCCAAGTAAAAGACTATTAAAAGGAGTTGGTCACTGATTTATTTAACATTCACTTAAAAATGACAGACTCATACAACCCATGTATGGCTTCAGTGGGTGGTACTAAAGTTTAAGCACAGCTTGTCAGAATACTCAAGTCAAATTGGGGGATGGAATAGAATCCTTTTCAGGGGGGGGGAGGTTTAGCAGTACCCTAAGGGCCTGCCAATAGAATAAGCTTGGAGAACAGTGTAAAATTTCTCCCTACCTTTGAAAAGTATACCATATGCAATGATGACTCTGACTGAGTTAGAAGATTCCAAGCAGGAACCCCTAAAAAATGAAAAATTATTTTCGAATGTGCTGAAAATTCTACTCTGGATGCAGCCGTGTTGAACCATGCTTGTCACTTACCCGTGACATGACAAAGTCTTAATCTGAGTTTTCCATCTCTTGCTGATCTATTTGAAAGGTGAGAGCTGCTCCAAAGGGCATTCTTCACTCAAATGTAGATTTTTTTGTAATCGGAGAAGCAGCTGTTGATGTACTGAGTAATTTGGCTTTGCATATGTGGCCAGATTACCTAGTTGTTTTCAAAAATTTTTAGCACATTTGAAGAGAATTTTAGAATGATTAAGTTTTTTTTTGGAATTCCAATCAACAACAGTAATAGGGGAGTTCTAAAATATACTTTTTATAATGGCCTAGAAATAGAAAATGTCATGGTTTCAAGCACTCCTCCTTTAATGATGCATCAATGGCAGTAAACTTGACACTTTCAATAAGCTACTGTTGTTCTTGACTAAGTTTTAAATGCACGTAAAACTTATCCCTTTCACTCCCAAGACTCATCAGTAATCCTCCTTACTGTGTGCCATACAACCCTTATAATTTTAGTTTGGAGAATGTGGTATTGAATCAACTAAGAATCCCCTAATGGACTTTTTTTTTAAATGCTCATCACATCTCTGTTTGATATTGTGTAACCACTGTAAGGAGAATTTCTGTCTGGGTCATTCATGGGAGTTAAAGGGCTAATAAAATCATTCATAAGTATTGGTGTTTGCTACTAAACTGGTTGATTGAGGTACTGTGGTACAAGGCAGTGTCCTCCTTCTCTTGATCATTGAATTCATTTACTGGTACTATACACAGCGGTGGCAGAGGAGGTAGCCGACCGGGTGGATACAATAGTAATATGGGTTATGGTAAGTCACGTGATGCAGACACTCTCTCTGTCCTGCAGTTTTATAACATGCTGTCTGTGGTGTAATTCAATCACTCCGCCAGCCGGTCGGCTAACAAAGCTGGTGTTATCATTGGTCAAAAGACCGAGTTTAATCTCATTTGGTATAAGAAAGTGTTAAACATCCCTCAACTTGGTTGGTTATTACTCAACAGCTAAATTTAGTCCATGTGGTTTTGTTAACAGAAGGCATCATAATCTAAACTATTGGGTAATATTCCAATTTTGAATCGGAACACAATGGTTTTGGTATGATCTTAAAATTTATGTCCTCCAGGTATATTTGAATTAGAAACTTACAAAAAGGTTCTTCAAGGGAAACTGGTCAAAATTATGGGTTCCCAAAATGACCTCTGATATTAGCTTGCGTCTTGATCACTGAGCTCCGGAGTTCTTGTGTACTTTGTGCGTGGTAGTAAACATTTGCTTGGTTGTATTATTTCAAAACTGTTGTCAAGGATTGTAACAAGTCTTGACAATTTTTTTTTCTTGTTAACTAATGAGAAGTGTCTGATTGTAGCATTTTTATTTAATCTTACATGTAAAACTCTCGTAAGATGTAGTAATAAAGGATTTATGCAACTATCACTGAACATTGCAAAAAGGGGTTTTTATGTGGGACTTGTTTGTCACACATAGAGGCACATGACAATTTCCACCCACAAGACTTTCTAACGGTTTTTGTCATATCAGGTAGATAGTCGAACATAATCTACAATTCTTCAAGCAAGGTTAAAAATGTGATTTTAAGACATCTTGAACAATATTTTTTTCGTGGTAGTATTTGAGAACCAAGCAAGTTTGTTAAGTGAGTTGTAAGAAAGTATGACTTCTCTCCCTCCAAAAGTGGATTGTGATCCACCAAACCTACTTGAGTGTCAAAAATTATGAAAGTCCTACTGGTGGGGAAGAAAACATGCACATGTACTCCAGGATTCACTGAAACTTAAGGCTTCTCAAAGCACTTTCAAGGTTTGCATTACAAGTAGTTCTGTGCTTTAAGAGGCCTGGCAAAAAATGGCTCGTTATATCATTGGTATGAACAAAACTAGAAAACCAGGGCTGAGCCTTTGTGATTGTGTTTTTTAATTGGTGTTCAAATTGTGGACCGTGAAGTGTTTTCCTTAATCCAGTTATCCAGTGGCAGAGGGTATTTTTTGGTCAGCCTTAAAATTCTTCTTTATTGTAGTGACCCTTGTTACCCAGTGGTGTCCTTGCTGCAAACCCTCCCATAGATCTTCTCTCAGAACTTTGTCCTTCCGGTTTTTTTTAGTCACAGCAAGTGGTGATCACATAGAGCTGTAAATGACTATGGGTCAATTTCAGACTAAAACTGGCAAACGATGGACAAAATCTGAACAGCACATGCAAATTTTTTATCCAACAAAGATTAAATTAGATGTATGACAACAATTCTGATAGAAAGAGCATTTTCTGGAGACAAGAACATGATTTTTTTTTTTAAAAAAAGGGGTTGTAATGAAATGGGGGATCACATTTCTGTTTTGTCCAAGAAATATAGAGATGTTGTCAGACATTTGTCCTTTGCAGCTTTATCATGACCACAGACCTGTTGAGTGTTTGACTGGTGTAGATGAAAGTTATCCTAATATGCTCTTGCATTATTATGATAGCTTGTATTGTTTCTTCAATTTTACTAGCTCAAATGTTGAGGGAACATGGCATAGTACACAATGTTTGTCATAACAAATAGTATCTAAATTTTCAGTGCTCTTGTCTTGACTAAGTGGTCCTCTTTGTGCTTTTTTCCAAGGTAACTCTTCTAGTGGTCCGCAACAAGATCCAGGTGGGAGTTTTTCCTAATTGATGTAATTACCAAGATTACTGTTGTACCTATTGACTGAGTGTACTCATTCTGTACAGTGATAGGGTTGCATCACCCCCAATGGAACTAAGAGAGCTTCTTTGTTTTGACTTTGCAGGAAAAGAGTATGAAACGGATCAGGTTTTCATTTCAAATCTCCCCTCTAATGTAACAGAACAGGACATCAAAGACCTTTTTGGCTCCATTGGTATAATAAAGGTAACCTTTTAAAATAGGATAAGGCACTCAGTTTGTTTAAGTTATTTTGCTAAAGCAGAAGAAAAGAGGTCTCAGGAAGTGCAACTGATACTGATCTAGTGATTTGAATAACAAAACCATCCACTCATCAAACAATTGAGATTAGTGAAGGAGACTCAGTGGCATAGAATGATAAATACCAATTAGGAAAAGCTGCTACGAGATTAATAATTAAATCTATATAACAATGAAATTATGAGCTCGAGATTTCTGTCATGCATAGACAGGGTTCGCACAGGTCCTGGAATACCTAGAAAGTCCTGGAGTTTTATTTTGACATTTGCCAGGACTGAAAAAGTCATGGTAAAAGACTTCAAGTCCTGGAAAGTCCAGGAAATCTGCTTAACTGAAGCAATAAAGTTTCAGAATTGACATAAATAAGAAATGCATGTAGATTGTTGGGAGAAGTTATTTTGAGATCTTGGAAATGAAAGGGTTTAAGGTGAAATTTGGAGCCCTGGAAAAAACAATCTTGAGTCCTTGAAATTTGTTTCTGAAAGAGAGTATGAACCTTTCATGTAAAATTCAAGAGCAATTAGTTTTCTCATTTTAGTATAAATCTTCTAGTTAGTCAAAACTTAAAAAAACAATACAGGCTCACATTTATATATATTTTGTTTATAATGGCACACTGTTGGGTTAATCTCTCTGCTCGCTTTCTGTCACAAAATAGAAAGGGAATAGCATAGCCAATCAGACTGAACTATTTGTGATAGACTGTTAGCAGATTCATATTATTAGATTACATTAGTGTAGTATAAAATGACAGGCTGGGGCAGTTACTATGACATCATAAATTTGGCTAAAGATGGTATATTAAACTTGCTTTTGGCTATTGCACTGTCAATTTCTGTAGTTGAGTTTTCATTTTGCTCCTAAACTACCAACATTTAAAAACTTTTCTTCAGATTGACAAAAAGACAGGCAACCCTAAAATCTGGATATACAGACATCCTGATGGTACTCCAAAGGTAAAAACCAAGTCTACATTACACTTGCCAGTTATTGTTGTTTTGAAAAGAGCTTATGTAGTGATTTCAGGCAATTAATGATTTATAATATACAATAATTTTTTTTACTTCAGGGAGATGCTACAGTTACTTATGATGATCCACCAACAGCTGGTGCTGCTATCAGCTGGTTCAACGGTAAATTGAGTTACTTGTTAAGCCAGTTGTGATATAACTGAGGTCATTTTATAGTAATGTATTGTGCATCCTTGCAGTACAGATATCATGAAAGATTGATTTGCTGTAATTAATCCACATACTCCAAATTCTTCTCTATACATTTCCTTTGGTATTGACAAGGACAACCCATTTCACATTCAAAGCTTCTTAGTTTGGTGATCATTTCCTTTATTCTCATGGTCTAAATGAATTTTATTAAAAACTGGATCATTGGATAATCCAATTCAAGACTTTTTATTGGCTTAGCCACTATGGTATATGAGCCAATATACCATAATCTACAAATATGGTAAGCGTACGCATTAGCTTGAAATCAAAAGGAAGCTAAAAAATTAAGATTTGGTAAGGTTTGTCTAATATCTTGGGGGCATTTTTAATAAAACAATTATTCCACTTGCGTTTGTTGGATACGAGATGATTATAGCCAACTTGGCGCTACGCGCCCCATTGGCTATCTATCATCTCATATCCAACGCCTGCTCGTGGAATAATTGTTAAATTCTGCTTGTACAGAGAAATTAGATGCTGGCCACTCTAAGGGTGAAATTGTTAGCTTTTCTTTTTGAATAGAGCTTGTCTGAGAGGTGAAGCATCATTTTCTTAGGACTGATTTTACTTATCTATTATTTTTTGCATTCTTTGATTCATATTTTAGGAGTGAAGTTCTTTCTGTAAAATTAATTTCCTCATAATGTATAGGAAAAAATCGTGCGAAAAAACTTGGGAAAATGGTGTCTCTGGGAAACAGAATCTTAGTTCATAGAAAATAGATTTGAAAATTTGACATACTACAGTGATGCACTGACTTCAATTTAAAGGAGATCAATGTCTGGAATCTACTTCAGTGGAAATCAAATGTTGGGATTTATTCATTGTTGGCATTGTCTCTTCAGGTAAAGAGTTTCTTGGACAGGCAATCAAGGTTGAATTTGCTGAGAAGAGAGTTCCCAAAGGAGGCTTTGGTGGACGTGGGGGAGGAGGACGAGGTGTGACCTCTTTTGTTATCATTCATTTATTTATATAGTTTGGGGTTGTTGTAATAAAACTGTGGTTGTTATATGATAAGTTTTCAATCAAGTATAGAAAATAATACTGGAGTGGTTGTTTTTCATTACTTTTGCTTTCTGATTGGTCCTGGAAACAAGCGCTACTCTCTTAACCAGTCATAATCGAGAATAGATCCCGTTGCAAGCAGCAACTTATTTATAGTCTTAGTTCTCATTGGCTCTTTCTAATATTCCCTTTGCTCTGAATGGCCATTAAGATAACTTTGGTTTTCAACTAAAAGGAAATCTGCCTGCCCCCACACACACTCATTAGTGCCACACTGAAAGCAGATGATTGTTGTCAATTTGGCTCAGACTAAAGTCACCCTTACTTCTGTTCTCAAAGACCTTGAGTTATTTTTAGAAAGATAAAACAAAATTTCCAAAGTCATTCAACTTTTTCACTACACAGGAGGTCCTCGTGGTGGACGTGGTGGTGGTGACAGACGTGGTGGTCGAGATGATCGTGGTGGTGGCGGCGGAGGAGGAGGAATGGAAGCTCGTGCTGGGGACTGGGACTGCCCATCGTAAGTGGAGTGTTCTACTTGATGGGCATTTTCAAGACTATGTAACAATTATTCACTGAAGGGGAAGTGAATGCTGTTGAATAATTCCTAAGGCTTGAGGCAAATAATTGATTTAGTATATTTGCTCATGAGCTTTCAAATTAATTGTTGTAAGTTCCTTAAATGAAGAAAGTATTGCACATTTTTTGTGCAAGTTTTTGTCTTGCTTCTGGTTGGTTCATAGAGAGATAAGTGGTCAACCTTGTATCTTGTTCAAATTCACAATCATTGAATCCAATCTTTTGTGCATGCATTTTGGAAAGCTATTTTTTCTTTAAGTGAGAAAGTTATTCAAAAGGTTATGAATAGATACTCAAGTGGGTTTTTTGGTTTTGTTGTTTTTGTTTTTCTGGTCAGATGTGGAAACCTGAATTTTGCCAGGAGAGACACTTGCAATCGATGCCAAACACCAAGATCTGGTGATGGTGGTGGGGACGGTAATTATGTTCAATGTTGATCATGTTTGTGTGTTTTTGTTATCTCCTTGCAGATATTTTTTACAAGTGATAAATTGTCACAGCAGGTGTCCAAGGTATGATCTGATGTTAATTTCCTTGTCTTTTGCTGCAGGTGGTGGTGGATATGGTGGAAGAAGTGGTGGAGGTGGTAGAGGAGGCTGGGGCGGAGGCAGAGGTGGAGGCAGAGGTGGGGGACGTGGTGACAGAAGAGGTGGACGAGGTGGTTATGACAGGTAAGATACCGAGTACAGTTTGAAAGAAAATTTCCACCTTTGCCCTCGAAAATTAGAATGCATGTTCTCTATACTGTTCACTCAACATTTCCATGCTACAAATAAGGAAAACTTGTTTAAAGATCAAGAGCTTAATAAATTGGTGATCATTTCTTTTAGAGAGGGGGGGGGGGGTCCTAGGGGTGATACTGTCAAGAGAAATTAGGAGGCTAGTCACAACCAGGGGTTGAAGGGCTAGGCTGAAAATAATAACCAAATAAATGAAATAAGGAATTGCTTGCCTGCCCTCAGATGGCTGCATTTTGAATTAAGAAGGAGGGAGCTAAATGTTTATCACATGTATTTTTCCTTCCACACACTATTTTTTCTCACACAGCAGTTACAGATGGAAAGTCAAAGAATATTTTGTTCTGAGTGTGATGTGATGTTTTCAATTCTTCATTCATTCCATGTTTGATTTGAGAGAGAGAAAAGCCACAGATATGCACAAACAGCTTTTGTTTAGATTAAAATCACATTAATTGGGTTTTATTGTTCTTTTTTGTATTTGCAGACAAGGGATGAGGCAAGAGCGAAGAGACAGACCATATTAATCGAGTTACCATTTATTATCTACTAGTGGAACCTCTAGAAGATCACATCATGTCATCAAACATGAACCTTCCATTTGAAAACTTATTGCACTGCAATGTTGACTATGTTGTTTGTAAATTATTTGTTTTGTATGGAGAAGTACTGTAAGATTTCGTCGTTGAAATAAAGTTGTGTGCTGCACTTTTCTCTGAGCAATTTTTTATGCTGTTTTTATCTTAATATGTGGAAAATCTTGCGATTTAAAAGTTGTTTCTTTACTTGTTTAGGCTAAATTATGCCTCACTAAAAGAGTAGCCAAAATTAATCATTAAAAACCCTCAGCTGTGTTACTCTAATCTGATGAAAATAATATGCAGAATTTCAGTTTGTGCATTTGTAAAAGCACCTTAAAGCTTTCTGACATCTTAGCCCTGGCCCTTTTACTGACCTTAACTTGTGCACAATGTATGGAATTCAGTATGTTACCCCTGGTATTAGGGGTAACATATGGTGTGGTGGCTGGTTACAGTTTGTTCCAATCTGGATTGTCTTCACAACTCTACCTGGTGTCATTTTAGGCTTTTCAGTCACTTCTGTGAGGGTGAGCCATGTCTGCAGGGAATTTGGGTCAGCACAGAACAGCAGTAAACAGAATAATCTTCAACATGTGCATGTTCATTGAACAATGAAAAGTTAAAAGTCACACAGCTCACTGTACCAATGATTGTTTCAAAGTTTTTAATACATGGTTGAATATTGCTATTTACAATAATGAATTTCTTTGGCTAAGTAAAGATATGCATGCTGACCTTGAGTATTGGGGAATGAGAGAAAATTACAAAGGAGGAAAAGTATTTAAATTAAACTGACAGAAGAACCACTTCCTTCTGTTTATGTGTGGTACGCAATGTTTCCTAAGCTTACAGGGTACTACATCTAACAAAATGATAGACAACTTGGTAGTGAACTTGCAAAGATTTACACCAGTTAATAAAATTTACTGAAGCCAAGGATGGATTGGAGTTACAGTGTAATAATCTGCTGATTCCAAGGGAGACGCTTTCCTTTCTTCATCTACATTGATAAGGTTTACAAATAAATATTTGTGACACTCACAAACAGCACCTCTGTTACCATGTATAATTTGCAAAGAAGTAATCTATTAAGACTCATTTTGACTGTGAATTTCCACCAAAGAAATTGGATTTCTGAGGCAAGATCACTTACTCCAAACAAATTTGTTTTAAAAACCCTTGCAAAACAAACTCAATGAAAATTTTCCTGATTTGTTGTTGTTGTTGTTGTTGTTGCTTAATCTTTTACCAATGGTGTTGTTTTATACACATGAAAAGTTTCTCTGATGTCACTTTATTATCAAAGTAAACAATACCATTTAAGGGTTATGAACTGCTGACAAAAATTATTAATAGTAATTGTCAATAAAAAGGACCCTGAGTTTCCTTAGAATGAGTGTTACGTATTGGAATGATTCGTTGAAGGGCCGGAACTCGTACTATTATTACTGCTGCTGGCATTTTTCTTCTTGAGATGAAATTTCCCTTTCATCAGTGAGGAAATGTAAATTCGCACTTTGGTGTTGTCTGTTTTCTTAATCCATATCTATAACCACAAGAGAAAATATAGTACTTCAATAGATAATATATACATCTTATTAGCCAAGCGCGAGGGCCGTACTTGGAGAATATCGGCGCGAGGTCTTGACAGTACGGACTGAGCTCAGCGAGGTCCGTACAAAAAAGACCGAGGGCCGATATTCTTCCAGTACGATCCTGAGCAAGCTTGGTTAATAAGAGATTTATTATACGACTGAAGTTCAAAGGGACACAAGTGCGGTATCATTCGGGACCATTCAGGACAGTGCCCGGTCCAATACTTAGAGAATATTGGACCGGCAATGGAGCATTTTGATTGGTTGATTTTAGTTATTGGCCCTCTGACTGCCCGAGTAGTGTAATAATGTATGATAAATTCATGGTAGAATGAGAGACTCGATTATCAGGATTACTGAGGTATGCAGGCAGTGCTGTTATTTCAATGAAACCTTATATTTTTACATAGGATTTATATCCATGGCATCACTATAAGGTATGAGTTAAAAATCACCATCCGAAAAAAAAGGTTTGGAATGTGATGTTTTCCCCTCTAGCTTTGCATATTAATTAACCAGTGAAGTTAGAGCTTTCATATTTGATTGATGTCCAAAAAATGTAGTTCATCTTACCTCTGACTGGCCAATAGAATGAAGGGATCCACTGAAAAAAAAAAAAGAAAATGTTTCAATTACTAAAATGAAAAAAGATGGCTTTTTGGAAAGTAATAGCAATCTGATTGCCATAAATTTGTATTAAAAAAAAGAAACAACAGCAACAATTAATTATGTGGATGCTGTGGTCAACAAGTGTATGAAATCTCACCTATATCTTCCATTTTCTCTTGTTTCTACAACAACGCTGCACCCTTTGTTGAACCTAATAACAATAGAGATAATACTTCTTTACAGAAGAGTACTAAAACTGAAAAAAAAAACTACAACAAGCAATCAGCTGCACTATCTACACATGTTTTAGAGCATGGTGCTCAAAGTACATTTTAATCCTCTTTGGAGGTTATAAGTCTTTTCCAATTAAAATAATTCCAGAGTAGTTCATTTAGCTGTCTATTGAGCTGTAACAATAACATGCACATTAAGTTCAAGAGCTATATAGTTACCATTTTTTGTCATAAAGGAGCCTTCCATCCTCAGAGCGGACCTCAACTGGGTATGAGATTTCTGAATGAGAACCATTTCCTAAAGATATTTTAGAACAAAATTACTGAGAATATTTTACCTAAACTGAGCTCACTCTAGGAGCTTTCATATGAGCCTAGTAAGGAGTTTGGTCTGATTGATGGAGAGAATTTTGTCTTATTCTTAAATAATAATTTGTCTGTGGTAAGTAAGCTGTGTTTTCAGCTCATGCTACATGTACGACCTCACTTTCTGGTACGACCACATCAAATGAATGGTGAAGTGGACCAGCCATTCGTCACGTAAAACTTTACACCTGTTCACACATTGGGATACTAAAGAAGGAAACTGATGCAATCTTTGGAAAAAGACAAGTACTACATGTGAGTAATTCTTTCATAGAGATACCTGAAGATATCTTAAGGCGGCTTGATCCTGTTTTATTCTGTGACTGGCCTTGTGAGGATGTTACCTAGAATACATTTTAGAGATTATGAATGTTTGTAAATGCCATTTTCAATTTTTATCCACATCCAAGATTGATTGGTTTTTATAACACAACAGCTCATTCACTACAAGATCAGGACTTTTCCTCTTTATTTTAACAAACTATGAAAGAGTTGTTCACTGTTGGTAAAGATTCAAAGCTAAACTAAGAGAATTACAGAGTTTTGGAGACATGTAACCACAAAGCCTGTAAAAACACCATTTGGAAGCATAGCAAAAAGGTGCATGCATCAATTGTGTTATCACACTCAAAAACACTTCATCACCTCTCCTGGAAGAGAGACCAACTTGTTCAGAGCTTTCAAGTCGTCCATGATATCTTCTTCATCCAGCATGTAATTTATCTGGGGTGGGGTTGGTTAAGATCAACGTAACAACATAGAACTTACATGAAACACAGATAAATAGGGCTTTCATTATGACATGTACATGTTCCCAGTCAGAATAAAAAATAGCTCAAGCCATGAACCCTTTTACACCCTAACGTCACTAAAGATGTACATTCTCCTATTCACTAGAATTTTCCTTGGGCACCCACAAGGAGGATTTGTTCAACAATGAAGAGTTTTTTTACTTGGCAGCCATTTCCTTTATTCTCGTGGCCTTGATGTTTGATTTAGGGGTGAGATTGTAGGGAGAAATAAGATGCTAATCATTCCAATGGGTTGGGAGGTTAAGACTAGGGAATTCTCCTTGACCACCCTAGAATTTTCTGATCTGAAATGCCTGCACACACCCTGGCAAAGTGATTCCTTGTCTCTCACTGTTTGTTCATGTCCTACTGAAGCACTTATCAAATGCTGACATGATTTTTTGCACCTGATAACAAAAAAACAAAATCTTCAATAACTGAACTGTGGGGCAATGAATTCATAAGGATATGAGAAGTCTTTCTTCTTTTTTCAGGTGCAGGTAATGGGTCATTTGGTCTTCTTCTCAGTTTTCGTGTGACAGCAGGTTTCACTTCCACTGAATCTATCAAAATATAAGACTTGTCAGTCATGCAATGTTCCCCCCATACAACAATGCAATGTTGAAATCAGAGAAAAGAAATTATTGGTAAAAAGTAATTTAATGCTGGTGGAAATCACCATAAGCCAGCTTTTATTGGTGGCTAGCAACTGTTTTAACAAACTTATCTGTTTTTTTTTTTTTTTTTAATATAGGATGCTACAAAACCAGAGAGCTTGACAGCAAAACTAGCTCCTTTATGAAAAACTTGTAACAGGGAAACCTGTAAAAATGAAAACTCATGAGCTGTAACTTTTTAGGTTACTTTATTCGATGCAATGCTTCCTTCTGTTGCTACACTTCTACACACCAAAAAAAAAAATATTTTCTCATTGGTTAAATGCTTTGAATAATGAAATCTTCTGCAATGATTTGTTTTGAAAAAAACACCTTAAGTTAACTAACCTCCTGTGAGCTCCATGGATGACCTCTCTGTCTCTATCACCTTTTTCTTCTCTTGAAGTTCATTTAGGAGTGTCTCTTTGAGTTCAACTTTCTTTTGCTAATTTAACAAGGAAGAAAAACACATAACAAAAAAAAAATAATAATTACTTATCTCTTAATAACCACAACAGCTACAACCTTAAATGGAACCATGTAGTCTTGCTAAGTATATTTTCATTTCAATAACCTCAACATTTCTCTTCAACTAGGTTAGGCCTGTTTGGGATTAGATCAAACCAACATACCAAAGCCAGTGATCTTCATCATTTGGATTACCTGATAACTTGTTGATCTACTGTACATGTACAAATATGTACAAATTATGTATTAAGTTGTACAAATCATACTTTATTTCCTAGAAGGCACATTTTTCTGCAGAGTAGTTTAACTAAGCTGTATGAATGGTGTAGTGTTCCTGTGGTGAAAGATTGTAGTGTTGTACAAAAGATAATTGTTAAAAAACAAAAAAATAAACAGATAAATATAATTAAAATAATTATAATCACACACAAAAATAGGACAGAACATCCCCATAACTGACAGGCAGCCCTTACTTCATACTCCTCTTGTGCTGCTTTCTGTTCACGGATGTATTCCTTCTCCACAAGCTCAATCTGAATGCAGGAATATCACCATATTGAAAACAAAAACCTCACTAAAATTAACTTTCAACACACTTTAAAACACGCCTACTACAAAAAAAACAAAAAAAAAAATGGTGATGAATGATACTTTCTTAGCTTCGACAATCAAAATTTTGCAAAAATGCAAGAATATCACTATTACAATCAATTATAGCTTGGCTTCATTTTTTTACAACTATAGCAAAGGAAAAAGGGACCTAAAGTAATATTGTGACCACAATCAGTTATAATTGTGAAATCAGACAGTGCTCACATATAACTTTTACTTTCTCTATATTTTTAAAAAAATTGGACAGACAAGGTATGTCATTTGTGAATTGGATATAAAACTAAATAACTATACAGAATATTAATTAAAGCAAGCAGTTTAAAGTTTAAAACATAATTTGCATGGTGGCAAATGAAGACGAAATGAAGAGAAAAGCTTTTAATTCTGAAATAAAAAGAAATTTATCACTGGGTGCCACATTCGGTTGATAACCCTAACATCCAGTCCATACCTCATACTTCCTACAGATTTCTGCAAATTGAAGAGAAAATAAGAAAAGAATCAACCAAAAACATTAATTTTTGAAATGAAATGTAATCCAAACTTGTACTGTAATGCACATGTATAATAACATTACTATTAATTACCAGTAAACAGTTGAAAATTAAAAGAAATGTTTTTAATACTTTACCTGCAATGAGAAGTCTCTCTGTTCTTACCAAATCAAGTTTATTCAGCCTTTTAGTGTAGTCAGAATGTTTACCTACAAAGAATGGAAATCTCTATTTCACAGAAAAGTTTTCACTACCACAAATACAAACTTGTGGTCAATTAACCCTTCAACCCCTAAAATTGATAGAGCATCTAATTTCTCCTTACAGTAGAACAGCAGAATAATTCATTAAGAGAATCAAGGAAACCAAAAAAGCTTTGATTGTCATGCAAATTCTCCTGGTCAGCACAAAAGGAAATATACTGAGAGTAGTATGAAGAATATGGATACTATGTTAAGGAGTGAAGGATTGAGTCAACTACATATAACAGTAAAATTCATTTTACTTTTTAGTTCAAAAGCAAATTTAAAAGCAGTGCTTGTCTTCATACCACTGTTCAAATTCTGTAGCTGTTGTTTGAAATCCTGTAACTTTTCTTGATACATTCTGAAATATTAACAAACATATAAATAAATTTACTTTACCAAGCATATTTTGTGAAAAAAAAAAAACAAAAAAAAAACTGTTTGTCTCAATCACATGTCAGCTTAATCTACAGTGGATAAGACAACTTGTCCAAAGGCAATTTCTCTAACTTTTTATCCTCTAGCAAGGAACACTTACTGTTCTTTCATTTCTGTAAACTCCTCTTCAAGCTTTGCCATATCAGTTTCACTTGCATCTTCTGTATCTAAAGTTCAATTAGATGAAATTTTTAATCATACTTTGTTGCATGGGTACAGCATGCCACATGGATTTCTCAGCTTCATACTTTCAAATTTTAATCTATATTCTCTTTAGCATACAGTATATCAGGGATTGATAGCTGGATAAATATTTTCACATTTTCAAGCACTAAAAAAATATTACCAGAGTCTTATCAAAGATCACAAATATCCTGATTAATCAAAGCCCATAAACCAAATATCTAATTGAACAATTTTTTCTCTAACCATTGCTGTAGGAATCAATCTCTCATACTGTCAAAGCATAAAGATAGAACGTCTTTCTTAAAAGGGTAAAGTTCAAGTGTTTTTGGGTTAAGAAGCTTATCTGAAAAAAATATACCTGAAACTCGCATACACAAGTCTCCAAAATTTCATGCAGACACCTTTGCTAGCTCTGCGTACAATAAAAAGCTATGCTCACTAAAACTCCACATTCATCCACTATCGGGCTATGTAAATCAAGAGTCTCTTAAGTATGATGCATGAAACATGAAACGCTACATACTTTGCAACTTTACATGTAAACATCGTCCATGCACTGCTGAGTTCCACAAGAAAAACAAACTACCCATTTTCCAACCAGTCTTTACAAATTGTTGCAACATCAATAGAGAAATTATACCTTCATCTGATTCATTCATATGGAAAAACCCCCTATCTTCTTCATCATCGTAGACATCAGAACGGTTGTCATCAAAGCTCGCCTCTCGATTGAACACTGCCGCCATTTTTTTTATCCTTCCCGAAGTCCGTGGTGCGCAGGCTTGATTACCAAATACGCTGTCCTCTGATGAATCGCTCCGAGGGCTCACGCTTCTTCCAGACTGCAACAAAAGAAAAACAATTTTTTTAAACTCGATACACTTAACTCTGTCTAGGTGTTACTGATGAAAAATTCCAGAGATCTTTTGAATTGTCCCCTAAAAACTGTTTTATACAGTTTTTTTAATAATTTCCCGAGGAGCGGGTACCCGCCAGAAATTTCCTTCGAGTTCGATCTTGCGTCCTCCTCCGACGCAAAAGCATATACGCGCGCAGCTCAGAGGATGAGTCACAGCTGATTTTTGAACACCAGGAAACGAAAATCGCTCGCAAAAAATTACTCCTGAACAAATGTGCTCCAAATATTAGACATCTTCGGTTAACATTTTGTTCCCGTTCTTGAAATCAGCTCAAAGTTGTAAGTTTAGAAGCCAGCAGAAAAGTCTTGAGAGTGGTCGATGTACAAAATCGACAAGATAAGTATTAACTCTGCGCTGGGCAAACCCACAAGACTCCTGAATACCTTGACGTAAAATGTCAAATAAAAATCGATCCTATGCCTGATGCAACAAAATTTTTGATCGATAAAAAAATTTTCTTTTACTTTAAAGGGATATTACCGAGAAACTGCCTGCACATTTTGGTCTTAAGACCCTCCTATCTACATGCATAAAAGATCGACGCGAGTAGCAACACTTCCGAGCAAATTACTTCGACTGATGTGTCTTAACCAAAGATAAGTAATATTGCACTATTTACAAGATTTGAAAATTTCAATGAAATTCGAACCATAGGTAAATATGACAGAAGCGCCTTACTTTCATCGCGCACTACACCGGCTTGATAAAGAAGGGAAGGAATAAGACAACATTAACTATTTCGTCCCACGCAAAGATCCTCAAAAATTAGAAAAACAGGCTGGTCGTTCGGTTAACGCAGATTAAAACTTGGGTGAAAACTGTAATTGTAAGTCACCTTTTTTCCCTTGCCTCCAAGTTTGCTTTTTCCTTTGACAGTATTCGCAGTTGACCTTTTTCTACGCATTTTCTTGTGGGATTTTGTGCCTTCGACTCCTTTCAACTTGGGCATCTCGCTGTCTGAGAGCAAAGCCAGAAAGACTCTTCGTTTCCTTTATCCAGGCCAAGGGAAAAATTTAGTCGAGTCGATATACTCGGGAGAATCCACTGGGAGACAGAGACTAATAGCGTAAAAGGGTAGAAAACCTTAGGTGAAGATTCAGTTCAGATCAGTCCGCGAGTGAAAATTGTTGGTTACATTTCCTGCAACTATTTTTAGAGGAAAGCCGTTGATTGGCTCCTTGTTTTCGATTTACTTCCGGTTTCTTCCTTATGCCGAGTGACCACGCCAATTTGAAGGTTGGTACTTCCATACGCGACACTTACGGGAGTCAGGATGGTAAGTTGTTAGTAATGAAGAATTTCGGCCTAATTATGTTCCACGTGCCTCTTTTTATACTGAATTAGAAAGCGTTTATCCTTGATCTAAATCACACGATGGCATCTTGTGGCTAGTTGATCTTTTATGGAGCTTTTAGTTTCGACTACAGCAACATGCAAATCTCGCTTGTATGTCATATCAAGTCTGCCCAGATTTTCAGTTTTATGATGCAAATTTGTTTCTTTTTCGCACAGAATATGGCATTATCTTAAAGGCTGGCCGAAAATATTTCAGCTCTTGGTATGGAGGGGTTTAAAAGACAGTACTAGTGTCATAATATCCGCGGTGCACTTAATACCCGAGGGATAGGGGAGTAGATGGCGAGATCATGAGGTCGAAATACCGCATTGCTCGATTCCTCACAATTTTGGTTTTAACTTCACAGTGTAGCAGATATGGATGACATTATCATAATAACTACACTATGCTTTCGTAAAACCTAATTGAGATCGTCGTTCACAAAAGTGTCATGACATCTCACGCAAAAGAGGAATAATTTGATTTTGCAAGGGAAAGTACAGCAGCTACTTTTATTAGAAAGCTAATTGGTAGTTAAAATGTTACTATATTTACTTTACTTCACTTCTAACTCTTTTCAAACTTCAAACTTGCAGCTTGTTCTTGTGCTTGGGGACCTTCATATTCCTCATAGGCAACACAGTTTACCAGCAAAGTTTAAAAAGTTGTTGGTGAGTTAATCATGTCAGGATAAATTCTGACTTCCTTGCTTTCTTTCATTTAGTCAGTTGGTCTCTGAAAACAAAAATGTCTCATTTGAAGCACAAACAATGTATGAAATTCAATATAGATATTGGGTCACTGCTTGACCTAAACAAGCTTATTACAGGATGCTTAGCATTTTCTGGGAATCTTTCCTTACAAGCAGAATTGATTAAACTTTACACCCTAAGAGTGACTTGCATTTAATTTCCTGGAATCAAACAGGAAGGTCCCGAGAATAAAGGAAATGATTGCCAGCCAATGAAGCTTTTGACCTTTCAACAAATTTTCACCTTCTCAGATCCAGAGGAAATTTATAGAGAACAGTTCAGAGAATATGTATGTTGATGTGAAGGTTACCGTGTGAGCAGGGCCTTTTTTAACCGGTCCTCGAATCGAAAAGGGAAAAAGGCTGTGCCGACTTTCTTTTGTTGCTCGTTTGAACATGCGCAGCAGTTGCCTAGAAACTGATCCTTTTCCACGCCCCCTTGCATTTGTGGGCGCAGGTTTGGTCATCTGTTTACATAAAAAACAGAGATGTATGCACCAAAACCAATTTGACTGGAGGCAAAACTGGCTTGAGTAGCCCGGAGTTTTGGGCTTTCGGCATTTCAAAGCAACAACAGGATGTCGGCAGAGCCTTTTCCCTTGGAGGGTTAAAAAGAAGAAAAGGCTCTGCTCGCAGGGTATGTGAAGGTGTAAAGGATTAAGAAAATACTTTCCCCTTCCAATGTTTGTACATAGTTTCAGCACAGTGGAGGTGAAAAGAATTAAAGGGTTATATTATTTTGACTTGCTTTGCCTTTTTATTTCTCAGGTGCCGGGAAAAATACAACACATCTTATGCACTGGAAATCTCTGTGCAAAAGATTCATATGACTATCTCAAAACACTGGCTAGTGATGTCCACGTTGTCAGAGGGGATTTTGATGAGGTAGTTTTAAAACCAACTTTCTTATTTGCTCTGGCATTGTGTTCATGTGCAAAATTTAACAACAAACTTGAATTTAATCTCTTCACTTTTCACAGCTTGTAAAAGGTTACCTACATAAAATTGAGTTTCACCAGTACTCTGTTTCTTTGTCACAATCTTTTATAAATTCTGGTGTGATGAAAAATTAATGGTTGGAAATAGCTGGCTGAGACAGCATAAAATTCAGTTATTAATGAGTGCAGATCTCCCACCTAATCACTGGCAATTGTATGGCTTTACCCCTCAATCCCCATGAGTGATCAAGACATAATTTCTCTTCAAAATATTAAATTAATATCAAGCAGACAAGTGATGAGAATAAAGAACCAAGGGATTATCAGTTGATCCACACCAAATTCTTTTAACTGACATGATAAGAATTGTATGGCAAATAGTAGTTTAAAAGAAAATTACTAAGGAGATCTTTGGAGTCAAAGGATTGAATAAAGGGGTGAAAAAAACAGGTAAATATCATCAGAAAAACAACATTAGAAAGTTGAGTAGGAATTTGAGATCATAGGATTCACAGATTACTGATCAGAATTCTTTGATAAAATTTACCAGCCTAAGTGATGTTTCATTTAGAAATGTTGTGACCTTGATATTTTAAGTGCTGTTTCAGATTTTATAATATCTATATTTTAGCAATAACACATTTTTCTTTTCAGAATTTATCTTATCCTGAGCAGAAGGTAGTGAATGTGGGACAGTTTAGGATAGGAGTCTGTCATGGTCATCAGGTTGTTCCATGGGGGGACCCTGAGTCTCTCGCAATGGTGAGTGATTTATCACTGATCTCTATCTTTATCTTAGATCTTATCCGTAATTCTCCCTCGCAGCTGCTGTATCTATCCTGGTTAGACAGAGCTGAATATTGTGCACGCATGCGCTAGATTTTGCAGCGGAAACACGGATATTTAGGATGATTTTGAGTTGTTCGCATGAATGATTTCCTATTCTGTTGCTTTGAGGTGTCATTTTCCTTGCCGCTTTTCTTTTACAGAACAACCTCCAAAAACTTGGTACAGCCCCTGAAAAGTTTCAAAAATTAATTTTCTCTTTAAAACCTCTGGAAATAGGAAAATGCCTTTGATGAAAACAGAGTTCCTCGGTTTTAAAAGTCAGCCCTTACTGTTTTCCGCTAATTTCGCCAAATTTTAGACCTAGGGCACTTGAGCCTGCATTGTTGACGGCAACCCGCTGACGTAGCATTTCATTATTCAGCTCTGTCTCCTAGTTATTAAATGGTAGAATGTTAATTTTATACTATTGAAGTTTTACAGAGCGTTGTCATGATAAAAATCTTGTTTTTGTCTTGAACAGCTTCAGCGGCAGCTTGATGTTGACATACTTATTTATGGGCACTCGCATAAGTTTGCTGCATATGAGCATGAGGGAAGGTTTTATATCAATCCTGGTTCAGCCACTGGAGCATATCATCCCCTACAAAGGTAGAAATATTAGTGAACTATAAACCTGGTAACTTCTATCGAACTGCTCCAAGCTATGATCATTTTTTTTAATTACCATAGCAAGAACAAGTGTTTTGCAGCATTTGTTGATTTGGTGATCTGTACTTGATAGTAATACTATCAAGT